TTTGATTGAGAGTGAAGAGATCTTATTTATCCTACTATAATCTTTATTAGTCGAAAGATGATTTAACCAACTAATTTTTTTAATAAAGAAAACTCGAGGACATAGTTAACCTCTCACTATAAGAGCCATTCACTGGGACCAAAAGGGGAAATATTGAATGTTGAAAGACTAAACCCTCGATTGATAATATCGAGAAGGTTAGTGTCCTCGTTAAAAAGAATAAAGATAGAAAAGACCATACTATATAATCTGTATGACTTATTACAGTTAAAATATAATTCGAGACAAAAGCAAACTAGACAAGAAAAAAGGAACCAACAAGAAGAATACCTGAGCAGTGGTTTTCCCTTTGGATTTAGCAATTTGAGTTAATACATCACATTCCATAACTCTATTGTGACCCCAAATTGTATTATATGCACCCAAGGGAGAATAAGCAGTTATGTAAATTCCCTTTGCCTTACAAAATTCCCTTAGTTCCTTTTGTTGCCAAATTGGATTCATCTCCACCTCAACAAAACAAAATTAGCCATCTATCAAACAAACTTCAATAGTGATAATTCTAGAGCGATCAGAGGCAGATTCAGAATTTTAAATCAGTTGGGATATATAAGTGCTATTATATATATTATTGAGAAAATTGACTTACTTGATTGACGGCAGGAGGAATTTTAGCAACGAAAAGAAGTTCCTCAAGTTTTTTGCGAGAGAAATTACTAACACCAATTCCCTTAGTGAGTCCAAGATTTTTGCATTCTTCCATACCTTCCCACACACCCTTAATATCCAACGGATGAATCATTCTTTTGGAACTGGAAATTTTTGTATTTTTTCACTTACTCTTAAAGGGTGGTGAATTAGTTACATATCCACATAGTCCAATTGCAATTCTCTAAATAAAAAATAATAATTAAACACAAAATTAAATTTGTGAATTTAAATATATCGACTAGATAGATTTTGGAATACATATGAACATTTATTTGCTACAAAACTTTAGATAATTCACAACGTTTTGAATAGAAAATAGAAAAATTGAGTAATGGTTATTTTGAAATGTACTAATTATGTCTTAAACAAGTTAATTACACTAAATGATTCAATTTTAGATATATCATCTGTATTTTAAAACCAATATTTATACCCTTATACAGAAAAAAATCTACTTTGTCAGAGATATATTGATACCTAAGTGTATCAAAAAATAAATTAAAATAATAAATGTGTGTATGAATTCAATTTCAGATACATCCTCTATATTTTAAAACCGAATACTTACAAAAATTCTGCACTTACATATCCCCCTACCCCTACCCCATGAGATATATCCATAACTAGGTGTATAAAAATAAATTAAAATTACAAGTGTAAATTTTTTCTTAATATAAAAGGTAGGATTTGATTTTAAAATATAGAGGATGTATTCAAAACTGAAATATATACATATACATATCTCTCTCTATATATATGAAGAATTCAATGTAATTAATTAAAAAAAATTGCTTTTGACTCTAGAAATAATAATGTTGTCACATAAATCGAAACGGTATAATATATAACCCTTACCTAAGACTGAGTTTACAATCACCAACAATTTGGTCACGTTGAGCAAAGGTGCACCATAACTTTGTAGTAATAAAAAGTTCATCCCTTGACTTAATAAAGCCAAGATGAATAGCCTCAACAATGGCTTCTCCTAGAGGCTTTTCCGATTGATAAATAAACGCGGTGTCGAAATGACGATAACCAGCTTTAATGGCCTCTAATATGGTGGATTTCATCGTCTCCGATGGGTCCGCCCCCGGCCGAGATGAAAGAACAGTTCCCATGCCAATTGCCGGCATGGGCTTGTCACAATTGTTCAATGTCACTTGTTGCATTTTTATTTTTTGTTAGAAATATTTTGATCATATGATATAAACCTAAAATTTGAGAGAGAAAAGAACACTTATTTATAGATAGAGTCAAGATCGTATTAATAAGATTTGACGCCTAAAGTCAAACTTCAATTCCAAAAAAGGTAAAAAATTATTTAAATAAGAGGGAGAAGATATGAAATTTAAGTTTTATACATTAATAGTGTAAAAAAATATTTATAGAAGACTCAAATTACTGATTAAGTAATAACTAGATGTAATATCTTGATATGCATTTATTGGTGATTTGATTAAGTAATTATATGATATTTATTGTAGTTTGAAAGTTTTTTACATATTGTTCCAATTTTGGAGTGATCTTTATTTATTTTATTTTTCTAAAATTGGTAATCTTTAATTTTTGCACATGTTTTTTATTTGATTTTATGCAGATTTGTGGGTCAAAATATCTTTAACTATAATTTAATTTTTCAACGTAAAAGTTTATGTCCAACTTGTGTAATATCTAATTCGCAAGGCATAAGTTTAGAGAATTTTTTCATTGTTCTCATAAAAGTTTAGAGAACTAAAAAATATAACTTTATGAATTCTGAAACTAAATTTATGTCTTTCGCCTTGCGATATTCTTTTTTTCAATTGTCAGGGTTATTTTCAGTCACAATTTTGTTAGTGGAAGGACAAAAATAAAGACCAATCTAAAATAGGAGATAGCATATTTTATATGATTAACTTAATTTAATAATTAAATAAAAACATGCAAATTATATTTTAAAAATAAAATAAAAATATCTAATTGAAATACTTTATTAAAAGTGCCTAACAAATTTAGAAGACTAATTATATATTAAGCCATTTTTACCTCACCTAAACAAGTTTTTGCACATTTCTATTTCTCTTTTGTGGTGATTTTTTATTTTATTTAGTCGCTCAAATTTATGATTTCAAAATTTTGTTTTTATTTAATCAATGTGTACTATAGTAGAATACCTTTTATAAACGATAAAATGTAAAAGGGGGCGTTCGACCATTTTTCACTTTAAATTTTGAAATTATATTTGACCATAAATACATACCGAAGTTCTTATTTTAAAGAAATTTTTTTTGGAGCATTCAAAATGGGCCTGTTAAAATCAGACCCAAAATGAGGGTTGAAATGGGCTTGTTAATTTTGGACCGTTATATACAAGACTCTAGTCGTGAGCACTCTCTCAATATAGACGATAACAAATTAGGAAAAATTACTTAAATACACAACACTTCTTTACCTATTCTCAATATTTCCCTACTCTTTTACTAAAATACAAAAATCCCTTATTTTCCCCCAATTCAACTTAACCGGATACTTTATTAGTTTAAGTATCCGCCCGTTATTAATTAAAGTATCCGTGCTGCTATATTATGCATCCGCCCGTTAATTTAAGTATCCGCCCGTTATTAATTAAAGTATACCGTTATTAATTAAAGTATCCGCGCTATTAATTAAAGTATCCGCGCTGCTATATTATGTATCCGAAAAACACTAAAAAAAGGGATTTTTGGTAATTAATGAAAGAGTAGGGAAAGGAAGTAATTTCTTTCTTATACTATGGCATTTGCCTAATTTTTACAAACAAATACTACATCTGTCCACTTTTAATTGTCATAGTTTTTTTTTTAGAGTCAAACTATTAAAACTTTGACCAACATTTTATGATGTATTTTTTTTTTTTATCATATTGATATGCAAAAAACTGTAATTTATAGTATTTTTCATATAATTTTTGAATATCTAATTTTTTTTTGTTTAAAATATCGAATTAATGTAGTCTAATTTAACTTTAAAAATTAGTCAAATTGACTTTCGAAAAGCGCAACATGACAAATAAACATAGACGGAGAGAGTACTTGACATATACGTAAACATACCATCTAAGTATATTTTAGGTGTTAATTTTCATACTTACAACATATACTTTATATATCCTTCATACAGTTTATATGCATATACAATTCGAAAAACACAAATAGAATGTTTGGTTTGATTTCTCGAGTGAGAAATATTACAAATTATAAGCTAGATAGGAACACAAGAAACAAAGTGCACATGAATAGATATGTGCACCAACAAGGATGGTAATGGCGTGATAACAAATAAATACTTTTTCTTTGTAAAATATTTATAAAGTGTGCACCAACAAGGATATTAAAATAGATATGTGCACCAACATGAAAAATATTCCCCTTTGTAAAACATACAAGACTCTTATATACAAGACTCTAGTCGTGAGCACTCTCTCAAATCTCAATATAGACGATAACAAATACTATTTCTGTCCACTTTTAATTGTCATAGATTTCTTTTTTAGAGTCAAATTATTAAAACTTTGACTAACATTTTATGATGATTTTTTTTATCATATTGATATGCAAAAAATTGTAATTTATAGTATTTTTGTATAATTTTTGAATATCTAATTTTTTTGTTTAAAATATTGAAATAATGTAGCCTAAGTTAACTTTAAAAATTAGTCAAATTGACTTTCGAAAAGCGCAACATGACAAATAAAAATGGACGGAGGGAGTACTTGACATATACGTAAACATACCATCTAAGTATATTTTAGGTGTTAATTTTTCATACTTACAACATATACTTTATATATCCTTCATACAGTTTATATGCATATACAATTCGAAAAACACAAATAGAATGTTTGGTTTGATTTCTCGAGTGAGAAATATTACAAATTATAAGCTAGAGAAGAAACAAAGTGCACATGAATAGATATGTGCATCAACAAGGATTGTAGTGGCGTAATAACTGATAAATATTTTTTCATTCTTAACTACAAGTTTCGAATTGTATCAAAATCAAAATTTATCAATAATCAAGTGATGAAAAATGCATTATTCCAAAGTGGAATGTGACATATTCTTTTGCTTTGCATAAAAAGCTCCACCCATTATCAACTCTCCACTTTCTTCTCTCATTTCAATTTCAATGTGGGATGAACCCTCCCTTCCTCCTTAGAGACGTCACAATCCACTCGACTATGTGATAGATGAAAACGCAATGATAGATAATTCACTATATAAGTAGTAATAGTAATCTTTAAATGTATCTAATACTATATACTATATCAATAAGTTTTAAAATTTTGTATGACAATTGGAGGGGATAAATGGCTAGAGATGGTTGTGGTGAGTGGCGATTAATTAAAAAATTATAATAACTCTCACTCTTCAGTCTGCAATAAACTATACGTGCCCCACCCTCTTTTTTATTTCGTCTGAGGATTTTTATTGGATTGAGTGGGCGATGGATCGACAAACCGGACGGCCTGACTTGACGGCGGTGCAGTCAGATGCAGCCGTTATGGTGGCGGTGCATGACGGCGAAACCATTAACAATGACCAAAAGGTTCAGTGGTTCATCTCATTCCACGTGCTCTGTATATCTCTCTCTTTGTTTTGTGTTTTTTTTTCCTCTTAAAAATGGAACTTTGTGCTCTGTTTTGTAGTATTTTGATTTCTCTCTGTGTTTAACTTCCATTGTATGTTTACATTCATTTAGTCGGAGTGCACACAAACTACTGCTATATCTTTTTAGTTTACGTGATACAGTTGGAATTTCGTGATTCAAAAGTTTTAAATTTTGGTTATGAATTCAGACATAGAAGGCTTTTGAGTTTTTTTTTTTTTGAAATGATATACACTTAGCTTTCTCTGTTTTGATTTATTTTTTCATTTTTTAACTTAACACGGAGTTTAAGAAATTTAATAAATACTTTTGAATTGTATGGTCTTTTGTTTTTTTGATGACGAGCTTTTTGCGCAGCTCGATTAATTTCACGCGATACCTGTCACCTCGAGCAAAAGGTACCAAATAGCTCTGTACACCAAGGCTTGGACAGAAGGGAAGAATCACCTAGTGTTTTTTTGTCTGTATTGAGTTTTGGTCTTTAAACTAAAGATATGTGGAATGTATCAAAATGTTTTTAATCTTATGGTTTTAAATATGTCATGAAAGTTGAAATTAAAGTGTTGCCAAAAAGAGAAAAGAAATAGAGTTTTTTTTAAACTGACTAAAAAAGGAAAGTAAGACAACAAATTGAAATAGAGGTAGTATTTGGAAACTACATCGAAAGTAGTATAAATCACAATAATTTATAATATAAAATATTTAAAAGATATATAAAGAAAGTTTGGTCGAAGAAAAAACGCGGTTGACTCTTGAAATTTCAACTATTCCACTTATATTGTGATTTGAGGTGAAGTTGTTGATGATGATGGTATTTCCTTAATCCAATTCCTTCATTATACATAGCGGTATCTTTCAATTGCAGCAAAGTTGTTGATGATGATGGTTGACTCTACAAACAATTTTGTGTTCAAAGTTAAGTTGTCTCTACTAGGATGTACTTTGACATTGTTTTTTACTCGGAAACTATATTTGTTTAGGACACTAGCCGATGGGAGACGTTGGTACTTGCATACAAAACCTTAGGAGTTGTTTTTGGGGGTCTTGTGACATCTCCACTCTATGTATATCCATCAATGCCATTAAACTCTCCAACTGAGGATGATTACTTGGGGATATACAGCATAATGTTTTGGACTCTAAGTCTGATTGGTGTTGTCAAATATGCTACCATAGCTCTCCAAGCTGATGATCAGGGTGAAGGTATTGCTGATCGCTCTCTCTTTGTACTTTTGCTACTTACGACAACATTTTCCCATTGAAAAAAAATGGGACTTGTTTCATATGGAAAAAATAGGCAACTTCTCACTATTTCAGTGAGAATCTATTTCCTACCATGCATTTTCCCAGTGGAGCTGGTTCAGTGGGGAATGAGTGGAAAAATCATATGTTATAGCACAAATTTCCCACTTATTTGCAAGTGGGAAAAACCTTTATTTCTAGTAGTGAGGTGACTCGAGTTTTAAGAAACTGTCTGTTTGTATTCATACTAAAAGAAAGATTAATCTTTTGGAGAATGTTGAAGGTGTTAATGAAGGATGTTTATAATGTTGACTCCATTCTTAATTTTCTTTATCTTTTGGTCGAAATTCCTTTTGAAAGACACTTCAGTGTTTCTTCATTTCGCTTTTGATGTGATCATTATCGAAATTTTAGTTCTAGAACATGGTCTTTTGTAGGTGGAACGTTTGCTCTTTATTCATTACTTTGCAGGAATATAAATATTGGGATTCTTTCTTCAAATAGTGCCAGTTTGAATTCAAGCCATTCCTATGTTAACCAATCGAAAAAGCCAAGTAGGTTGGGTAAATTTTGTGAGAGGAGTTTGATTGCCAGAAGGGTACTGCTTTTCATCGCAATGTTGGGTACGTGCATGCTTATTGGCGATGGCATACTTACACCTGCCATCTCAGGTATGTTAGCTTGTGTTGGGCCTTTTAGTTTACTTTCAGCAACCTTTTGAGTGCTTGTCAGTTTTCCCTCTTTCATTTTCGGTTTCATTAATTGTCCCTTCTTTCTGTTAGTGTTGTCTGCAATGGATGGCTTAAGAGCACGATTCTCCTCGGTCAGTAAATGTAAGTATGACAGCATGCAGTATGGTACATATTGTTCTTTGCTTTCTCAGTCGAGCTCGTTGCACGGGGCTTGCCTAGTGCGGCTTACCCCTCCTGTGTGATTTGCGGGCTATTACACTGAAGCGGGGTGTACCCTATGCCCATCCTAAGGGTAGCAGCTCTGGGTTCCCTTGTCATAAATAAAAAATTGTCTTTGAACGGAGAGGCCTTTATGATTTTGAGGGTAATTGGGAAGTGGTAGAAGAACAATTTTGATTCTTGTAATTTCTCAGGTTTTAAGGTATTGTGCTTGTTAAAAGACGACCTTTCACAGATTTACATATTGATGTTACATGAGTCCGATTCTGGAAGCTAATTGAAATAACTTGAATCCTTGTTCTAGTAATTATTTGAAGTAATGATTGAACACTTTAAGGTCAATAAGTGATATTGATGAAAAGGAGACGCAGAGCAGTTTCTGAAAGTTGTAAGTCTTTTTTATGACAGGTTGCAAGTCCTTTTTAAACACTAGATCATGCGAAACATATTTATTGTTCCATTTATGTAAACACATCTCTCCCTCTCGATATTCACAATTTCTCTGCTTGCTACTTGCAGCGTTGGTCGAAGGTCTCTCAGCAATCGTTCTCATTGTTCTATTCCTCCTGCAAAAATTTGGTACTTCACGAGTGAGCTTCCTGTTCTCTCCTATCATGGGTGCATGGACTCTTACCACTCCTCTCGTTGGGATATACAGTATCATAAAGCATTATCCGAGCATATTTAAGGCAATATCACCCCATTACATTGTCCTCTTCTTCTTAAGAAATGGAAAACAAGGATGGATATATCTTGGTGGTACTGTCCTATGCATTACAGGTAAGCCTTGTTGTTGGTGTGATCTGCAAAAGTTCTTCATTTTGATTAAGATATAAATCCATTTCCTCATGTTTTGAGTTCTTTTACTTTCTTTCCCTATTACTTTGCTATTAAGATTGGGCAAAATTTTGGACCAATTATCATGTGTGCAATGTCTACCCATGGCCGGAAAAGCTTAGACCTGGTGTCTTGTTTCATATCCAGAGAAACTCGCAAGGAGATGAGTGGAGGTGGAAAATATTATAAAGAATATGGAATGTCCCTGCAGTCACTAACTAAAAGGGAAATCCTTTATTTGTTTTCAACAGATGCTGATCTTCTTGTTTCCCGCACCTTGGGAAGGCTATAAAGATGTTTGAAGCAGATTAGTAAAATATCCTTTGTTTAATAGTACAATCATATCATTAATTTTTCAGGTTCTGAAGCAATGTTTGCTGATCTTGGTCATTTCAACAGGAGTTCAATTCGGGTAAAAATACTTGCGACGTCTTGGAATTTCTCTTAGTCTCTTCTTCTTGCTTGTTTATATGATTTAAGGAACCTTGTTTTCTGGCAGATAGCATTTTTCTGTACTATATATCCATCATTGGTGCTGACATATGCAGGACAGACGGCATATCTGATTAGAAATCCCGATGACCATTTTGATGGATTTTACAAGTTTATACCATCTGCTGTGTACTGGCCAATTTTTGTGATAGCCACATTAGCTGCAATAGTTGCAAGTCAGTCTCTGATTTCAGCCACCTTTTCGGTTATTAAGCAGTCAGTTGTGTTGGATTATTTTCCTCGGGTGAAGGTAGTTCACACATCCTCCAGCAAAGAAGGCGAGGTTTACTCACCAGAAGTTAACTACATCCTCATGATTCTCTGTGTTGCAGTCATACTAGTTTTCGGAGATGGACAAGACATCGGAAATGCCTTCGGTAAGATTCTCTAAACCCTCTGCTTTTAATCTCTCATTCTTAGGGACTATCTTAACTGAATTGATCCCTTTATGGAAGTTATCTTTCACTCGACTCCTCTTCGTAGGATGGTGGTTGTTAACATCGACTACTAGCATTTTCTTTACCTAATTTACTGCTACTTGGTGATGACTTGCTTACTTTAAGGGGTACCTGGTGTAATGCATTGAGCTAAACAAATTGTGAACCGGAATTTTCTCATTCTGTTTGTTCGTTGTTTTCAGAAATTATCTCGTCTTGTTTAGCATTGTCCAATTAGAAATTTCACGAGTAGTGATAACGCACATATATGTGGTGCAAATCAAGTTCAACAAAATCGTCTTGTCTTGTTTAGCATTGTTCAAATAAAATTACATATATGTATGATCTTGTGTGTTTATATTAAGTTATAAATTGCATTTTTTCTTGCAACTGTTCAACTCTTTGGTATTGTCAGCATAGTAAATATTGCAATAACTAATTAAAATGATTATTAAGAGTTAAGACTATAGTAATTTACTACTTTTACATATACATACATATTAGTAAATATTAATCTCAATATCTTAATAGTTATGTATTTGTCATTTAGCCATCAATTCATATTTCGTTGTGACTTTGAGTTCACAACTTTACATTATACAAATCGTTAAAACCTAAAGTAAGAATCATATTCCTCTTAATTTCTCTTTGTGTTACACTTGTATAGTTATTTTCATGGTTGTTATTATTATTTCTATTTTATGAGCTTTTGTAAAGTTACATTATTATCTTGTCGTGTCAAATTTATTAGAGAAGTCATATATTTGTTTTATAAGCATTTTCTTATTGGTTAATTCGAAAACCGAACCGTTAAGAAACAAAATCGATAAAAAATTATCTTATTGGTTTAGCTTATTTAAAAATCAAAAATTGATAAATCGAATCAATAATACATAAAGCTACCTGATACATATTGCTAGAAAAAAAAACATATTCATACTCAACAAAGAAATGGAGGTCTGTAGTGGGCATTTTGGTAATCTAAAACGCAAAAAATCATAGCTAATGGAAAAGTTAGTTTCAAGGACTAATTTAGCACACTTAATTAAACTAATTAAAATATTAAAGGTGATGGAATAAACACAAAAGACGAAAAATCGAGACTAAAACTGCTATATAGTTACTCAAAAGTTAATGTAACCAACAACAAATGACATCCATCGATATTATGATAACACTATTGCATATTTATTTGATCCAAATTAAACCAATCGATAAAACATATTCTTAAGTTGAAGTAACTAATAACTTTAAATTAAATCTTAAAACCGAGCTCTGATTAAAATGTAATTAGATCTCTGCATCTAATTGCAACACAAAATCATGAGGTCCAAAAAGAGAAGCCATAGTGAAACCTTTGTGTTGTGGAAGTTCACTTATTTTTTCCAAGTCTTGTTGAGAAAGTGACCAATCAAATATTTGAAGATTTTCTTTCATTCTCTCCTTGTTGAAACTTTTTACAACAACAATCACTCCTTGCTCATAAATCCACCTCAATGCTACCTGCACAAATAAAGACGGATTTAGAATTTAAATATTTGTTATTTTTCTTATAATCACAAAGGTGTTTGTTTTTAAATTCACGAAATTATTTAACTTTATGAATGGATAGAGTAGAAGAATTTTTACACTGTATGTCATGTCACATTAAAGCTAAATTATTTGAATTCACGTTGTGTAAGGCTTATTGAATGGAAAATCTCTCCAACATTTTTTTTTTCATATCCAAAACTTGAACTTGAAATGTTTGATTGAGAGTGAAGAGATCTTATTTATCCTACCGCAATCTTTATTGGTTGAAAGATGATTTAACCAACACAAGCTTTTACTTCAAGTTTTACTATGCAAAAAGGATTATTTACACCTTTTGTTACACTATTCATTCCACCACAACCCCTAACATTACAAAATTGTAACAAAAATGCTCCATTGCTGATCCTTCACCCTAAACTCATTTGACCTTTTTTTCACAAGTTAAAAGTCACCAAGAGGAGGAACATTGTATACATTTTTCTTTATTTTATTCATATTTGAATATCTTTGTCTAATTGAATGACAATCATATTTCTTACTAAAGAAAATTTGAGGACATAGTAAACCTAATACTATAAGAGCAATTCACTGGGACCGAAAGGTGAAATATTGAATGTTGAAAGACTAAACCCTCTACTGGTAATATCGAGAAGGTTAGTGTCCTCGTTAGAAGGAATAAAGATAGAAAAGATCATACCATATAATTCGAGACTAAAGGATGAAAATTACAATTAAAATTATAATTCACAAGAAGAATGAAAACACAATAAGAATACCTGAGCAGTGGTTTTCCCTTTTGGATTTTAGCAATTTTGAGTTAGAACATCACATTCCATAACTCTATTGTCACCCCAAATTGTATTATATGCACCCAAAGGAGAATAAGCAGTTATGTGAATTCCCTTTGCATTGCAAAATTCCCTTAGTTCCTTTTGTTGCCAAATTGGATTCATCTCCACCTCAACAAAACAAAATTAGCCATCTATCAGATAAAGGCAGATTCAAAATTATAAGTCAGTTGAGATATATAAGTTCTACGATATTCATTATTGAGATAGATTTGTCTATTTTAAAAATTTTATTTTATATATTTCGAGTGGAAAGTAATAGGTATGGTTGGATATTCATAGCCACCTTTAATCAGCTAATTCAAACATACTCTTAAGTCAATTTATCTTATCTATTCTCTCGAGTAGTTGAAAATTTTGAAAAAATTGACTTACTTGATTGACGGCAGGAGGAATTTTAGCGACGGAAAGAAGTTCCTCAATTTTTTTGCAGGAGAAATTACTAACACCAATTCCCTTAGTGAGTCCAAGATTTTTGCATTCTTCCATACCTTCCCACACACCCTTAATATCCAATGCATGAATTATTTCTTTTGGAACTGGCAATTTTTGAATTGTTTCATTTACTCTCAAAGGGTGATGAATTAGATACATATCCACATATTCCAATTGCAATTCTCTGCACAAAAAAATAATAATAATTAAACGCAAATTAAATTTGTGAATTTAAATATATCGACTAGATAGATTTTGGGATATATATGAACGTTTATTTGCAAAAAACTTTAGATAATTCACAACATTTTGAATCGAAAATAAAAAAGTTGAGTAATGGTTATTTTGAAATGTACTAATTATGTCTTAAACAAGTTAATTTCACTAAACACTTTTATAATATGATTCAACTTTAGATACATTATCTGTATTTTAAAATCAATACTTATACACTTAATACAAAAAAAAAATCTACTTTTTACACCCCCTATGAGATATATTGGTACATAAGTTTATCAAAAAATGAAGGGATAAGGGTCTAAAAAATACCCTAACTTTGGTCGGATTTGCTGTTGCGATACTAAACTTTCATGAGGACCTATTACCTC